TAGTGGACATATCCCAACTGGGACAGGTGGAAGATGCTAGAGACCTTCTCTCCCTGCCCCTATCTCCACTTTTCACAGCCTCTGAGCAGACTCCATGGAGTCCAGTACTAAAGCCATTAGCACTAGCTCATCCCGGTCTCTCTGAACCCCTGAAAAGTGACAGGACTTCCTCAAGGTCATTCCAGTCAGCCGTGGCACAGTCAAGATTAGAACCTAGGCTTGGTTTCCTGGAAACCATACCTTTGCAGCAAACAAGTACATTTGACTTTTGAGCCCAGACAAGATCAGAGCCCTTGACTTGGTTTTCCGAAAACCCTGAGTATCTTTGCAGCAGCCCATCCACATGGGCAGAAATAAAAGCTGGGATGGCCAGTAGGGGGAGGATAAACAGAGCAGAGCCTTGGCACACTTAATGGAGCACGCTTAATTTCTGAGGTTCTAACAATCCCCAGCTATGCGGTCAAGGCTGCATTGAGATAAATGGAGAAGAAAACAGCCCTCTGATCTACTTGGGGTAGCACTCAAAACTGCTCAGCAAGACCCACTTCCCAAGATATCAAAAGCCTGCGTTGCTAAGATCACTGTGAGCTGGCGATGCACATCTGCATCCCGAGGCTTGATGTTCACAGTTGTTTTTATGGCCTAACAGCAGGGTTCCCACAGTGTTGGAGCTGGAAATGGAGGAGATCCATGTGCCTCCATGCCACAGTGGCTTTTACACATTATGTGTTTCTCTGACTCTTTCCCCTAATGTAACTGACAACTTCCAGCTGCCATTTAGACTTGATGGGGGTTCCCAGACCTCAGCAGGAAGAAAGGAAAGCCCTGGAAACCCCAGCTTTAAAACAGCTCTCCTAGTCTCCTAGTCTCTTATTGAACTAACAACACTGAGACAAACCCTAGACTGAGCATGGTGGGCTGGATAGCAGAAGCAGGTGATAAATGGGGTCTGCCTTAACCTTGTGGGCGAGTTTTTGTTAAGTGTGATACACATTCCAGTCCAGTGGTCAGAGGAAGGTCATTGAAGATCATAGTCACAAATAAGGAGATTTCACTTGCAAAACCACAAGCCAGGTTTCACAGCTGCAGCTACTCACCATCTCTTTGTTCAGATATCCTCTCCTCTTAAATAAATTTTATTATCCAAATTTACTCTCTGCAGACACTAAACTGAAGTACATTATTCCTCTTACAACTCCTTTTCTCTGAATGGTTCATTTTCCTTGCCATTAAGGGCTGGTTGAAAACTCAGAAGTTTTGCTTGAATTACCATCAAACCAAGTCATGTGAAGACATAAGGGACTGACAATTTTCCATTTATGGATTGGACACTCATTATTTTCTGGCTTTTAACAGCTTTTCAATCTAACTTGTCATTCCAAAGTTCTTCCCATTCCAAGATGCTGGCGCAAACTGAACGTAGACCGTGCACTTAGAGCCGCTCTTCCAGAAACCTGCACACCTAATGGTTTTATGACATTATTGGCTTGTGTGCATTTTTCTTCTAGTAAATTCTTTTACAGATTCCAGTAAATTGTTTAAGTTCATCTCTTAAAGAGATAAAAAGTCAATGTCCTTAATTGCTTTCTCATCTTTTAGGGTGTCCTCTCCTAGGCTTTAGCAGGCTTGGCTGAGTGTCCAACATCATCTGCCTTCGCCTGATGTTTCAAATGCTCCCTCTTCCTTTTGCCAGAAACCTCTATGTAGTCAAGAGCCGGACTTTGGAAACTCCATTCAGCAGGCAGCAACCAAGGCTCACGATGTAGCAGGCTCTACCCTGCCCCACCCATGACACATCCATGCTCTCATTCAGTTCCAGATTCTCCCTCTTTAAAAGATCAAAAAGAAGAGAAAAGAAATTACAGTCCTCATTTGAGATTTAGGTAGATTTTAATTTCTTTCTCCTTTGCTTACTTTTTATAATTCTGTCATGTATTTCTCATGGAATAAAGGAACTATTATCTTTACTTTTTTGATAGTCATCCTGCATTTCACTCTAACTTGATCAGCCCTTACACATCTCTAAGCAATGATTTATTTTTTAGTGTTGCTTGTTTTGAAATTTCACATAAAAATCGCATGCTTATTAAAGTTTGTTAAACAAAGGATAAAAAAGGTGAAAATGCAGCAGGAAGCTGTCTAGAACTAAACTGTCCAATATAATAGAAACCAACGACATATGGCTGTTGAGTACTTGAAATGTGACCAGTCCAAATTGAGACGAGCTGGTAATGCAAAATGCGCAACAGGTTTTGGAGAAATGGTATGAGAAAGGAAGGTGAAGTACCTCATTAATACTTTTACACTGATTACTTGTTGAAATGTTAATATTTTAGATATATTGGTTCAAATAAAATATACTGTTAAAATTAACTTCACCTGTTTCTTTTTATTTTTTAAATGTAGCTACTAGAAAATTTGAAATTATGTGTGTGGCTTCCATCATATATCTATTGGATGGAGCTGGTCTACAAACTCTCTGAATTCCTTATATTCAAAAACTACAGTTCTAAACTGCATTTGTTAATTATTGGACATCTATTCCAGACCAATCATTTTGCTGCTTTTTTTTTTCTTTTTGACTTTTCCCTTAGTCTAACTCCTTGTTACAAAGCTCCTTCCGCACCCTCTCCATTTCTCTGCTACCACACCCCTACCTTTCTCGATGCCCTTTACAAATGGTCAGTGTTCTCAGCCTCCAGTTCTGATGACCTTCCTGCTCTCCTGCAACCTTCCACTTTTCCTGCCAGCACTGCTAGGACCCACTCCTCACGCTCGCCCCAGCACTTCATCAGAGACATCCCGTGGCCTTGGTTTACGTGTGACAGATCTCCTGACATCACTCACAGCCAAGGCACCATTGCAAGAAGACCTGTCACTCTCCATGCCTTTATAGGCTTTTCATATTTTTTAAAAACTCATCATTATTTCTGCTCTATAGCAGGTTCTTTGAAGAGACAGGAGGCCTACTTTGGTGCTCCTGAGATCATGCTGTGCTCGCTATTCAGGAAGAAGCTCTGGGTTTAGACCCAGAGGACCTCTCTCCAGTTATACATGTGCCTTTGAACAACTTGCTTCTCCTTTCGGCAGCAGATTCCTCTTCTGTGAAGGGAGACTTTCTACGCACTGGTTTCCAGGGTTCCCCCAGTGACAACATTCTACAGCAAGACATTGATTGTGTGGTTCCTCTTACTGAAGTCTCACTGGCCTCTTCTGCACAAAACCAGAACAACAGCAATACTTACCTTGCCTAGGGTGCTAAGCACACTGTGTGAAACTTACTATTTCAGACAAGCATGCTGGTTTGTGCAAAGACCAGGAACGGCCCCTTATGGGGGCATATTATGCTCATTTTCATGCATACTTAAATACAGTAGTTATTATTTCAGAAAAACATGTTGAATTTATTTTTACTCCCTTGGTCCAGGTGTCCTCTCAGTCTGCACTCTTCCTGACTGGTGCAGGTCAGTTTCCAGTGGCAACATGGGTGGTGGAATCACAGTCCATGCAGGACCCTTCCGGCTCTCCTCTACTGCCCATTTCTTCTCTGCTTTCCAGATGTTTCTTCATCATACCCGACATATATGAAAACAGAATTTTAAATTATCCTCTTACTCACTTTGGGGACACTCTGTTATCCTCATCCCTCAAGCATGGAGTCTGATCATTGTCTGAGATCCTTTCCACCCTATCAAGGACCTTACAACTACACTGTCAAATGTGGCAACCATTAGCCACATGTGCCTGTTGGGTGCTTTTAGAGCAGCTAATCCAAACTGAGATGCACTAAAGGTGTAAAATGCACACAGATTTCCAAGAGTTAGTATAAAAGTAAAATAGGAATGTAAAATATCTCACTAAAACTTTTTATATTGATTGCACATCAAAGGTTAAGTAAAAACATCACTAAATTAATTTTACCTGTTTATTTTCCTTTTTTAATGTGGCAATCAGAAAATTTTAAATAACATATATGGCTTGTATTATATCTCTGTGGGAGAGTGCTGCATTTACAGTGATTGGCTTCTACTCTGGGGTAATGTAACAGTCTTCCTTTCAAACTACAGCAACCAGTAAAATGGACATCTTGGGTATAATATAAAGCGACTTTATTTTCTTCTCCTATTGTCCTTTAACTTGCTCAGTAGGGCCATTTTTACCCCCACCCCTGGATGAAAACTTGACTTTTTGATCACGCTTAGGTAATAGAAAGTCTTAGAGTCCTTTGAGTTGCAAAACACAGATTCTATTTATACTTAGAATTCCAAACACATGTACTAGTAAAAGCTTCCAGCTTCATTCAGCGTTTTAGGGAGCCACCTTTCCCTAGTTGGAACATGCTGTTAAAAAAAGAAAGCCACAGACAATGAGGGAGGGCAGGACTGTCACATTCTTCTGTCCCTCCCAGGCCCTTTTCCCCAGCTTGCTAACCCTGGTTTCCTATTCATCCAGCACCAAAGGGCAAGCAGGGAAGGAGGAGTGTTCCTGTGGGAGCAGGCCGTGGGCTCCCTGGGCCCTGACTGTGTTTAAAGATTGCTGTGCCTCTCTCAGATTCCATGAGGCCTTTGAAACCTCCCTGGTTGCTGAGGACCAGTCCCCCAAAATTTCCCATGGCGTGGTTGATGCGTTCTCCTCCAACTTTTTGCTGACTCTTTCCGTACCCAAAGGAATCTAGCAACACTTCACTTCTCACAAATGAGGCTTCTTCACTTTTTTCTCAAAAGCAGGATTTTTTATTAAGGTATAACATACACATAAGCATACAACTTGAAATGTCTCTAGTTGAGTGAATGTATATGACCCCCCATCTGAATCAACTAATATAGTCTGTTCACATTTACAATGGCCCCTCTTGGACAAGGTTGAAAATGCCAGCCCTTACTCTGGTGTAGCTGCCTCTGATCCTGGAGACATTTACTCATTCTTTGCCTCCAGGAATTCTGGGAGGACATGGCCAGGGCAGGAGCAGCCCTTTTTCACACCCTCCACCAGAGCAGGAGGCAGGCTTTACGTGTCTTCAGGTATGAATCAGACACTCCTCTGCCTGGGTGCTGGGGACCAATATTATGCTGGCCGAGTGAACTCAAGCCCTTCCTCTTGCCCCAGGTGAGGGAGCAGCACCCCCCACCCTTCCTCTTGGGGGTGGCCCTGGAACTCACAGCATCCGGGTGAGTCGCACCAGAGAAATTCTCTTTAGAATCCCTCTTTTCATCACCATTGCACGGGGGACTGGGGAGCTCTGATGGGTTCCCAGTACCTGCTTTGAACATGCTTTTCTTGGTCTAGTGCCCCAGTTGGTGTCTTATATTTATACCTTGGGGCTCTAGTCAAAATGCCCATTTTAACATCCTGTTTTAGCACCATAGGCCCCCATTCATCTTCTCTTCTCTGTTCTTCCATCCAATTATCTAAAAAAAAAAAAGAAGAAGAAAAAGAAGAAGAAGGGGATGAGAGCAAGGCATAATTTCTGCCCAGGTATTATTTTTAATTCAAGGCCATGGAAAATTAGCTTGTGCCTTCTTGCGAAGGTCCATTTGCTCTTGGAGACTCACGTGCCTCATCCATGAGGTCAGAGCTCCCACCTGCAGCCACATAGTGTGGGACAGTGGCCCAAACGGGGTTGAAGGACAGTGGCTCTTTGGTTCAAATCTAAGCTCTGCCATTTACTTAGCCTCTCAGAGCCCTGCAGGGAGGAAGGATGAAGTTGAGTCATGGTAGGTGCTTAATGACAACTGTCTGTGATTTTTCTGGCCCTTGGGATAGTGTCCATTTTCTTTTCTTTTCTTCCAAAGCCCTTCTTAGGGCACTCATTTGTTGTATAACTTTCCATAACTATCTCCTGTTGAAATACTTCTCCTGGTCTAAAGAAGAGGGAGGGAAGAATATATAACAAGAAATGAGAGGAAATAACCTAAAAATCAAATTCATTTTTGTATAGATCTGAGAGCTGGAAAGACCTTGAGAGATCATCTCTCTGGTCCTGACTGTGGTTATGTTACATGGCATGTTCAATTTTCACTTTCCATAATTAATGTAAATGAGTATCACTGCTCCTAAAACTCAGACTACCTTTTTCTTCACCAAATACATATTTTTCCAAGCAGATTCATTCAAAACTATTCTGCCTCTAAAAGGACCAATACATGGATATAGTTTATTCAGCACCATGAATTTGCAAGAAGTTGGGGGCAGGAGGGGGCATTATATTGAATCTTCATCATTTTTGTTTGTTTCTTTGTTTTCTAAGCAAAATAAAGGATCTCACAGTCATCTGCCTCTACCACTGACTTACATGCTTCACTTGGGATTGCCACCATCCTCAAGTTCATGGGGCTGCTTCTCAGAGATGGCAATCTGTAGATGCAGCAGTATAGCTGAGCACACAATGCAGAAGCTTTCAAAGCACAGAAAGGATGCAGTTCTTGGTGTCTGGTACAGGACAGAGAATGTGTTTTGAAGCTGCCCAGCCCATGCTAGAATCCCATGCTTGTTTCTAAAGTTTATGCCCAGATAACCCCATTGTAATAGGAAAAATGGTGGCCATGCTTATTTTATTCCCACAGCTGAGTGCAAATGTCTACTGTGGAAAAATCTACACAGAGCATCTCTGTCCTCAGTCCTGGACCCCAGCCAGAGATCAGGTGATGTGTGTGGTTAGCTAAAAAGTGACCAGGACAAAAAGTCCCAAAGGGTCATATGATCCACCCTCTCAGTTGGGAAAGCAAGTCAGTAGCAGTCCCACTGACAGTGGGGCATCTCGGGAGGGGACCATCCTGCTCTGTGGGGAGGTGTCACTGGTCCCGTATAGGTCTTTTCAACCATGTTCACACACCTGGCTTGAGTTTTAGCAGATGCACCACCAAGAATATGAAAGGTCAGAAATATAATAGGAACCAAAGCATTCCCGCAGTTGAGAGGGAGAATGACGTTTGAATGCCAGTGCAGAGCTGCTTCTGGTCTAGGTCAGTGGTGCACAGTGCTGTACAGAAAAGAAAAATGTCTGTTACTGCTCGTAGGACATAAAACAGGAGTAATAAAACCTGGTATCAGCACCAAAGGATCCGTCGTTATAAAGTATTACAAAATGCCCCTATTCGTTCTTACAGTTTATGGAAGCTTCCAAGTGGAAGCTGCGGTCCCTTGTCCTTGGATTTCTGTCTTTCAAATGCAGCTCCTAGACTCCTGTGTGCTGCTCAGAGGGGCATGCAGAAGGCACTCTGCTGCATCCTTGCCTGTTGTACCCCGATGGATAGCTTTGCTTCGGCTTTCCATGCAGAAAGCACCTAAGGAAATTTCTTCTTCCCGCTCTGCCTTCATTTGCCTAAACCAGTTTGTGTTGCATGATGACAAAAAGGCAATGGATTCTCTCACAAAATAAGAGTCTGTTCCCCCCCAACACCCCCCCCCAAAAATACACACGCACATGCACGCACACAAACATTAGCCTTGGCTGAAAACCCCCAGGGCAACAGAGAACATTTCCGAGCCCGGCCACCATCTGAGTAAAAGTAGTTTTTTAATTAAAACAAACCCCATTTCATACTTCCCACAATGATGTAATGGCAGATCCCTGTAGAAACTGCGTGACATGCAGCAACACATGTGAAATGGAGGTAAAAGGAGAGATTAAATGAAAACACGTATTTAAGATGGTTATTAGGAACAGTAACATTTCCAGGAATGGGTCACTTGGGAAAACAGTTGATTTGGCTGGGGATAAATAGCGCCTCTTAAGTGTGCCCTGAGAAGTCGCGATGAGAACTTAATTTTAAGTCTGCGGATTGTAATAAGAACTTGGTATTTAAAGTCACTGCCAAAGAGAAGGGGACAAACATAAGCCAGCCCCCAGAGGATGAACTGTAAGAGGCTAGTGTTACCCTTGAGGGTCAGAAGGGGTGGGGCAGAAACTAGTTAAATATGCTGAAGCTAGTTTCTACTTGTCTTTTCAAATGCTCTGGCAATGGGAACTGTCTGATTACACTGTCCTTGGCCACAGTGGAGCAACAAGGGTGTGAGATCAGCATTAATGTATGAGGCAGAAAGGAAAGCGAAGACTCATATTCCAACTCCACAAAGAGCTCTCTACAGGCTAATGGATTTTGGTAAAATGTTTGTAATCTGATGCTTCTGGTCTTAATTTTCCAGTCTTTATTTTACGTTGCTGGACATTCCATGTTCCTCTGTAACTGATGTTATTTTTGCAGAAGAAAGATCACACGATAGACAATGTGACAATTCTCTTTTTGCCCAAGCTGGATTCTAAAATTTGAAATAGCTGAAGTTCTCTTCCTTCCTTAAATAACTAAAGTACAGCTTTGGTACTTAAACTTGGTGTTCCACTGAGAGTGCTCATAGAGGCCTATTTGAACTGTGCAAAGGGTAAAAACTGGATGGTCAAGCAGGCGGATGGGTGCATGATGAGCCATTTCCTGAGACTGTGCTAGGGGACATGTCAGGGCAGTGCAGCATCCAGTATGTAGAGGTTGGAAATGAAGAATTTGGAGCTAACAGCCTCTTACATGTGCACCTGAGATCAAGAGGAGGCTAATGAAAGAGTGCTTTTACCCTTGTGTCACATGTATCCAAAATTAACTAGGGTCTTCGTTTTTCATATTGTCATGAAGTCTGCAAATAAATCATGTCAGGTGTAAGGTTCCCAGAGATTAAAACTGGCTACTTTAATCTCCCTTTAAAACATCATTACATTTCTCTGGAACATAAAAGCAAATGCTGTGAGTCATAAAAATATGAAATCTCAAGGTCAATTGATATTGTGTCACTCAAGGCTTCCCAGATACCCAGTAGAAATTCCATTACGTTGTGTGTGTGTCTTACAATCTTGCTCCTCTTGCCTCCTTACAATTCAATGACCTTCAAATGTAATAGCTATTGTTGCAGGTACTTTCATCTTTACCTGAGTGAAGCAGAATCAATGTGCTTGACCAGCAATTCCAATTAAGCCACGATAGACCATCCTGCTGAATCTGCAAGCTTTGGATTTATATTGAATTAATGCAAGTTGAAAGGGGTTCCCGTATTGTCACACTTAATGCATCCTTGTCAAAAAGAAATGTAATTACAATAGTGCACGGCCCTGGTAGGTTGATCAACTTACACAAGGCGACAACCATGAATTGATCATGTGGGAGTATCAGTGAAAATCCCAGGGACTATTATAAAATGTGCTACTTTTAGATTGTTTAATTCCCTAGAGCCGGGATGGTTCAGACGATTAGTAAAGAGATACACATTTAGAATCACTTACTTTCAGGTCAATGGTTTAAATAGACCAATAGGGTAGTATCAAAGGCAAGTGCTCCTTGTCAGTTTTTATTATTTAGACAAAATTTAGGTCTTAGTCTAACAGTTTCTTTCCATGTAAGTCCAAGAAAAATTTTTTTGAATGTTTACAGTTGAATATTTTCCTTGGAGTAAAAAAAAAATCTTTTCTGAATAAAAGCAAGGGAATTGATAAGATGGAGTAGACAAAGCAACATTTACATCTACTGTCGGGAGCCATTTCTGACTTAGGCATTAGACACACATTAAAGCATTAGCTTTGCTGATCAACTTTAATGTTAGTTTTTTGGCTTGCAAGATTTAATTAGAAGAGAAAGAAATCTAAGCTCTAAGGTGATTAAAAAGAACACAAGAGGTGCATCTGGTTACTTAAGTACTGTGATAGGTTAACCTATGTAATAATGTGGATGTGATGGCTGGCAAACTTGACTATCTTTTCTCATCAACCATAGTGTTATGTTCATTTCTTATTTGAGATACTACAGGAAAGAAATCTATATTCCCTCTTCTCCTCTAAACTAACCAAAAATAACAAGGAACACTAGGAAACACCTCATCCTTGAACCTCAATTTATGAAGTGTTCCACTTTCATCTGAATGCACTGAAAACTGTGCCCAGGGAAGGGAAGACTCAGAAGTCTGGGCTCTACAGACCTGAGATAACATGTTCTCCACATTATCTAGATGGCCCACCAGAGGGGTAAAATGAGGTGCCTTACTTGAAGAAGCAGGTCACAGTATGTGGGCAAACCAGGTGTGTTTCACACATAGAACTTATTTTTGCAAGAAACAGGCTATCAGTGAGACTGGGTTTAGAATAAACCTGGATGGCATGCAGAGCTGCAGCACTGATTACCTGAAGATAAGTAATGTTTAAATTGCCAAACAGGAACCTGTGAGCAAGGAGTCAGAGTGATTTCCCCCAGCCAGGCAAAGAATCACACCAACCAGTCAGAGTACAATGGCATGGTATCCAGAGCAACATAGCAAATTTTCCTGTTATCCTAGTATATCCCAGCTTATCCCTATGCTTTTGTTTTACAAACAGCTAGTCCAGGAAGACTTCCACTGTTCAGTGATGGACACTACCATGGAACTTACAATGAATATTCTACAAAAAAGCAAGAGGAAAGGAACATAATGAAACAAGGTAGATGAAGAATACATATCAGAAAAATGCCATAATCATTCTGAGATTATGATCAAACATCTTCAGGAAAATTAAAGAGATCAAATGAAATATGACTTCAGAGTGATGGGGAAGGAGGAAGAAATATAAGGGCTCATAAGGGACAAAGAGAAAATGTTTTGTTTTTAAAGGACATGAAATGAAATACAACACAAAAAACGTGAAGGCCATATTAGAAACAGAAATTATTGAAAAAAACTTATGAACATTTAGATGTTTTAGAAAATTTGAGTATATTGGAAAGGAATATAGTCTTTTTTAAAATGACTAAAAGGCAAGTGTTAATTATAAAAGATGGTTAAATAAGAGCAGCCACTGTATCCTGAAGAAAACAATCCAAAATTAAGCAGGAAAAAATTCAAAAATAAAATACAAGTCTCCTATAAGTCTACAAATATGTGAAAATTATCATTACATTTCACAATAGAAATATTAACAAGAATGGTAATATAGAAATAATAATCTAATTAATAAAATATGGAGTAAAGTTGGGGGAAAAATGATGAGGAAATATTCAAAAAATAATGGTAGAAGATTTTCCAGAATTAAATAAAACAGTCTTCCAAAATTGAAAGGCTCTTTGAATCTCAAAGAGGATAACAAACATGAATTAACCCTGGCAGTGAAGGGCAAGAATAGCCAAGCCACTACTGAATAAGAAAAATTAGGTGGGAGTGTTGGCCTTACTAGATATAGTAATTTTTAAGTGTGTTATTGACACAGAGATAAATATCTAATGAAGCAAAAAAGGATACCAGAAACAAATCAAGTATATATAGAAACTTGAAATATGATAAATTGGTAAGCCATATCAATGAGGACTACTACTAAATATTGACATAAAAGCTCACACTGAAGTCCTATTTACCTCTCTGTTCTATCACTCAATTCATGATACCCAGATTCAAACCAAAAATTACAAGTTATGCTAGAAGGCAAGAAAAAATAGAGTCTGAAAAAACAAATGAAACATCAGAATGATATTCAGATATGGCAGAGATTATGGAATTTATCAAATTAGGAATTTTTAAAAACTATGATAAATATTTTTAGGATTCTAAAGGAAAAAGTTGGCAATATGCAAGAACATATGTAATGTAAGCAGAGAGATGAAAACTCTAAGACATAATTTAAAATGAATTATAGTAATCAAAGACATGATAATAAAAATGAAGAAAGTCTTTGGTGGGCTCATCTGTAGATAGGACACAGTTCAAGGAAAGAATCCCATTTAAAGACGTCAATAGAAAATTCTCAAACTGAACTGCACAGAGGAAAAAAAGAATGAAAAAACAGAACAGAATATCCAAGAACTGTGGGATAATTTCAAAAGGAGAAACATACGTGATTTTGGAATACTAAGAGGAGAAAAAGAGACAGCAGAACAGAAGTAATATTTGAAATAATAATGGCTGAGAATTTTCCAAATTTAGTGACAGACACAAAACCAAAGATAGAAGAAGTTCAAAAAATACCAAACAGGTTAGATG